TCAAGCACCGGTAATCGCAGCACAGGCGTAGGTCCCCCATCTTCTTCACGAAAAGGACCGGGGCCGAGAGCGGGGAGGACGAAGGCCGGATAAACCCACGGGCCAGGTTCTTCTCCAGAAAATCCCGTAGAGTGGCCAACTCGGGCTCCGACATGGAGTACAGGCGGCCCGTGGGCAGTGGCGCGTTGGGCAGCAGATCCACCGGGCAGTCGTAGGGTCGATGCGGGGGTAATCAGTCCGCCTCCTTTTCGCTGAACACATCGGCGAAGGACGTCAGCTCAGGAGTCAAGGAGACGGCTGGGGTGGAGACGTCCTGGCTGGCACAGGTGTGGCGGTGGTGATCGACACACTGCAGGCTCGCGAACGAGATGGTGTTTCTCGACCATGCCACCTGAGGATCGTGAGCCCGAAGCCAGGCCATCCCCAGGACCAAGGGAAAATGAAGGTCCGCCGTCACATAAAACTGAATCGCCTCCTTGTGGGCCCCAAGGGCTGGGTAGTGAATTTGATGGGCCCCGCCACGAGCTCCCGCCCATCAATAGTCTCAACCCTCAACGGAGGATCCACTGGAACCAAGGGGACCTTAAAATGGGCCACAAAGGCCTGGTCCATAAAGTTTGACGTGGCCCCCGAATCAACCAGCGCATGTGCCTGGAACCCCTCCGACCGGTTGGCCAACAACACCTGGGTGTCCAGGATCAGGTGCCGAGGGGGCTCATAGTCCACAGCCACCGACTCCGGTGGGGCATGACTACGTGCCTGGCCCAGGGTTTCCCCAAGGCCAGGCCTGGCCCGTTTCCCGGCTGATCACGCCGAGACTCCGGAACAGGCTTGAGCGCCCCACTCTGCTTCCTGGGACATGAGGCGGCAAAATGTCCAGCCTCACCGCAATAGAGGCACAATCCCCCTTGGCGTCGCCGCATCCGCTCCTGGGCCGTCAGGTGAGATCGTGCTGCTCCGAGCTCCATGGGCTCCTCACCCGTTGCCACAAAGCGTGGGGCGGTCCGGGGTCCTGTCGGTGCGCAACGAGGGGGTGCCGCCGCTGGCAGTGGTTCCGGCAGGGATCGACGAGGCCGTCGCCGTTGAAGGCGGGCATCGATGCGCAGGCACTGGAGCACCAGAGCGTCAAGGGTCTGGGGCACCTCCATTCGTACCAACTCATCCTGCAGGTCATCGGAGAGGCCGTCCTGGAAGGCATCCATCAACGCAGCATCATTCCAGGCTGAGTCCTGGCCGAGAAGGCGGAACTCAGCGATATATTCCTGCAAGGCGCGCTTCCCTTGGCGGAGGTCCTTAATGAGCCTTGCTGCTGTCTGCACACGAAGGGGGTCTTCGGACATGACGCGCAGGTGTTGCAGAAAGTCCTGGTAGTCTAGGAGTAACGGACTGTTTTGTAACAGCAGGGGCATGGCCCATTGGGCAGCAGAGCCGGAAAGGTAGCTGATCACAAACGCCACCCGAGCCCGATCATCCGGAAAATCCTCCGGCCTCATCGCCATAAAGAGTTGGCATTGTCCCATGAAGGCCGGGAACAGCTCTGTCTGCCCAGAAAATCTTTCTGGCACGTTCACGGGGCATCTTGAACGTGGAGGAGGAGGAGGAGGGGGGGGAGGAGCAGCAGGAGCATTAGCCAAAGCGAGTTGAGCCGTTAAACGGCCTACTTGCTGTTGCAATAGCTGATTGGCATCCATCAGCTGTTGAATCTGCTGCTGCTGCTGTTGGTCCATCGTGGGTTAACGATGGTTATGTCTGGTGATGGACAAGATGTTCTGTCCCCCGTCCAACTCACACCCCCCAACCAGTCAGCCGAGGGCTAAAAGACTGCTCAGCACTGCCAAATACAGATAAACACTTGGCAGCAACTCCGTGGCTGTCTGCCAAGACCTTTACTGATAATACAAATAAACTCCAGGAGAATTCCGGAGTGCTGCAACAGAAGATTCAGTATTGTCCGTCACAAGAGTTTCAAACGGCACACCCCTTGCCTATATAGCCTGTGGGGTGTGGCCCAGTGACTCAGCTGAAATCTCTGGCACGACGTTTTAGCTGCTGCGCACGTCTGTCCCTCCGACGCTGGCGTGGATCCAGCCAAGACGTATCCTCCTCTGAGTCCGACACACCTGGCTCCTGGCCAATCCCAGAAGCACCTGGCTCCTGGCCGATCCCAGAAACACGGGGCTCCTGGCCAATCTCCTCTCCGTCGGAAGACACTGAAGGCCGCACAGAGGGGGAAGGTCCTGGAGAGGGAGGCCTGGCCATCTCCTCTCCTTCATGTTCAGAACCTTCCTCCTCCGATGATAGGGACCCACAGGACGGAGCCACAACAGGCTGGGGGTGACGTGGACTCCCGATGATGCTGCAGTGTCCGCTGCCGTGCTGCCGCTGCCGCCACTAGAGCTGCTGCCTCCCGGCCTGGTCCCCCTCCCCGCCCGTTCGGCGCCGTCTGCCTTTCATTCTCTCTCTCTCTCTCCTACCCTGGAGGGAGAGGGAAAGAGAGAAAGAGGAAAGAAAGAGAAGAGAAAGAGGAAAGAGAAAGAGAAGAGAGAGAGAGAAAGAGGAAAGAGAAAGAGAGAGGAAAGAGGAAAGAAAGAGAAGAGAAAGAGAGAAAGAGAGAGGAAGAGGGAAAGAGAAAGAGGAAAGAGAAAGAGGAAAGAGAGAGAAAGTTAGAGGAAAGAGAAAGGAAGAGAAAGAGAAAGACAGAAAGAGAGAGGAAAGAGAGAGAAAGTTAGAGGAAAGAGAAAGAGAAGAGAGAGGAAAGAGAGAAAGAGGAAAGAGAACAAGAGGAAAGAGAGAAAGAGAAGAGAGAGGAAAGAGAAAGAGATAAAGAGGGAGAGGAAAGAGGGGGAGAGGAAAGAGAAAAAGAGAGGAAGGGAGAGAAGGATAGGAAGGAGCGAGAAAGAGAGGAAAGAGAAAGAACGAGGGGGAGAGGAAAGAGAAAATGAGGAAAGAGAAAAAAGATTGAGAAAAGAGAGAGGAAAGAGAGAAAGGAAAGAGAAGAGAAAGAGAGGAAAGAGAGGAAAGGAAAGAGGAAAGAGAGAGAGACAGAGAAAGAGAGAGGAAAGAGAGAGAGAGAAAGTTAGAGGAAAGAGAGAAAGGAAAGAGAAAGAAAGAGAGAGGAAAGAAAGGAAAGAGAGAGAGAGGAAAGAGACAGAGAAAGAGAGAGACCCTTTTGACATCTAAAATGAAGATAACACTGCATATATCCTTTTTTACCTTTATTTTATATATACACACACAAACATACACACACACATATCATAAAGGTAAAAAAGGATATATGCAGTCTTATCTTCATTTTAGATATCAAAAGGGTTTTGCGGCTCCCAGTGTTTTGTTTTCGGTGGGAAACGTGTCCAAGTGGCTCTTTGAGTGTTTTGGGTTGCCTACCCCTGATATAGCCCAAACTCTATATTTTAACAGGAAAAGTTGGGGGTCGTCTTATACGCCCAGTCATCTTATACGCCGGAAAATACGGTATTCCTTTGCCATGGTTAGATTATTTTCTGCTGAGGATTTTCCCCCCGTTTTTGAGTCAGACTGGACTTTTAACAACTATATGGGCAAGTCTACTTTTCTTGACAAGATTTTTCTGCAGGGTTTTGCCTTCTTTCTAGAACTTAAGGAAAGTGACTTTAAGCTGGCTTTATACTTAAAACAGAACTACTCCAAACTTATTAAAATTGTCTAAATTTTAATTTCAAAATTAAAAACTAATGAGTTCTAGAGGATTTTCCAGTTGGTGTGACACGAATACTTGTGAATGCCTTGGTCAACCCACCTGATCTCTCCCTCTTTAACAAACATCTGTAGTCCCTTGGTATAATTCAGAGCTGTGGTCTAAGAAGCAAATGAGACCAGATGTATGAGCTTACGCATTGGAAGGGAAGATAATGAAGACTTGCTTTTCTATTTTCATTCACTTTAATATGTAAAAGATAATCTGGCTCAGTCCAGAAGGTTCCAGACATTAAAATTAGCTATTATCAGTTGTTATTATTAAGAAACCTAGCCTGCATCTAGACAATATAGCATTTATAGACTGGTTAATTCTATTTCTATGCTGGGCATGGTTAATAATTGCATGGGACATAGAGTTTCTGATATAAAACATTTTCCATGGCTATTTACATCTGGCTTCAGGCTTAGTTTTGTAACAGAAATTGATGAGAAGAGCTGCCCCGTGGTTATTTGGGATGTCTCAGTAGCTTTTGATTATAACAGCCTCCTCAGTTAAAAGTTGCAGAAGCTACATCATAGTAGGTCTGCTGCTGCTTGAAATTCTGATTACAGAAGGTGGTCTTGGGAAAGTTACCACTCTGCGCAAGTACTATGAGGTTCCTCGAGGCTTTATTTATTGTGCTTTTTAATAGAATGTACAAAATTTAACATTCTATTCTTCTGAAATGTGCTGATCTGGCTCATTTGGAAGTGGCTCAGTAGTTTAGTGACTTCTCTGAATTTAATGCATAGTGTTGCATATTGTTCGTGTTTAGGAAATTAACTTTCAAAAAAGGTAGAATAAGCATTTTGACATTATTTACAGGAGAAATATAATGTTTCAGAATTTTAGGCCAAATACTTGCACATGATATGCACATGCAATAATGGGTCAAGATTGCATATTTGTAGGTGAACAGACAAATAATCTTTTACCCACTCTAATTATGTTTTGGACAAACAATTCAGTTTTATAACTTCATTTATACAGATCCATTTATAATATAGTAAAACAATATGTACATGTATTGTTTCTCACGGACTAGATTCTGTTAATAGCAGTAGAAGAATAGTGTTTTTTCTTGATTCACAGGAAAGGATAGACAAGGGCTTCAGGCAACCCAGTTTCTCAGATGTGAATTTTAAATCATGAGAACTCTTTGCTTATATAAAATTGTGTTTAATAGGTTGCATAAATCAAAGTACCTTTTAAAAATCCTTCGATAATTGTAAAATCTTTACGACAACTATTGCATTTCAGGATGACTTCCTGTTTCTCTCAGTTTCAGATGATTTGTGTTACCCCAAGGAAGTGATAGAAACTGTTTCTGCTTCAACCACATGTACAAATCAACTGATTATTAACAGTAAGGGATATAGAGATAGATGGAAATATATGAAGAAAGAAGAAAAAAGAAATACTGAATCGGTAATAGCATTTTCCTTTCTTTTTCATACATATTGATATATGACATTGCCCTCCCAATTGTTCAATTATTGGTTCACTTTTATTTTCATTTGAGAAGTTATTGTTTGAATTGAACAGATTGTGGGAAAGTGCAAAAATACTTCCTTTTACACTAGATTCATTTCAGAGGTTTCTGAAAGAAAGCTGTGCTTCTTGCTTTGAGGAATCAAAACTGAAATGTATTTAATTGTGATTGAAATGATTGCTGTGAGGACTCTGTGTATCAGGAAAGCTTAAATAAATACTTACAATAAGAGACTCTGTAGAATAAATTATCATACAAATACCCTTGGCCATAAAGAATCAATTTGTTTTCCTGATTCTTGTTCTGCCTTCTTCTGTGTACTGATCTGACTTAGGGAATATTCATTGCACTGATGGTGTACTATGGGCCAATTATCTGTCACAGCTTCTTCTCTGAGTTTCACTGCCTGCTAACAATTCTTGGAGACAAGTTTTTTTTGAGTGAAGGTTTAAATTCTTATTGATATCAGTATTGGCAGTTGCAAAGCAAGAAAAGGAGAGATGGCAAATTTAGTGTTGCTCCAAGCAAAAGTGTCAGGAACTGCATGGGTGTGGGTGGATTGACCCCATATATTACTGGCTGATTCCTTTTTCCTTCATCTCAGCCTAATTCATATTGGGTGTCAGAATCGGTTCCCCATTTTTGCTGTTTAAAGCAGAAGAATAATCCCACTCTAATCAGAAAAGTTTTAAAATATAATTTTTCTAATGCAATTTGAGTTACCTTTAGATAAATATGATAACTTCTTTTGGAGTGCAGATTAAATATGGTTTGTATATAAGAATTTTCATTCAAGTATTTTCAATTTGTATCAGAAAATGTCCTGATGCTATAATTATTTAATTTAACAAGTTTATTTTATTTGAATTCAATGTAGCTTTAATAAATTTAAATAAATATCCTATATTCAGAATACAAGTCTTGGCCCAAAATATTTCAGAAAAAAAATAATTGTCATTAAATATAGTTAAATAAAGTTATATAATGTGCAATTTTTATTTGTAAATAACCAGGGATTTAAGTTGAAAAAACAAGTGGTTATAGTATCTCAAATATTTCAAGAGTTGAAAATTCTTCTGATTCAAATAATGTGTTAAAAATGTTGTAATTATAAATATTGCCATTGCTGTATATCTGATAGATCTCTTATCTCTTAACACAGAGTATGTTAAATAACTCATCTTCATTATCTATTATTTGGTCCAAAGTTGATCTCTTTGCTTTCATATTACTTTCTTTGTTTCAATTTTTAAAGCAGGGTTTCCCCTTAAAGTCAATTTGGCATGGGGAAAATATTGTTCTTTAATAATATTTTGTTTTCTTGGCAGGGTGATGGCCCCGTCTTGCCACAGTACAATGGAAATGAAACAAGATACTTCCTCAGAAAGAAAAGAAATTCTAGTAAAACTATGGTTTTGAAAATTGATAAGAAGCACAGTAAGTAGTGGTAATATAGGTAGTCCTTGACTTACAACAGCTCACTTAGTGACCATTCAAAGTTACAATGGCACTGAAAAAAGTGACTTATGACCATTTTTCACACTTATGACCATTTTTCACACTTGTGACCATTATAGCATCCCTGTGGTCATGTGATTTAAATTTGGCCACTTGATAACTGACTCATACTTATGACAATTTCAGTGTCCTGGACTTGTGATACCTTTTCCAACCTTCTGACAAGCAAAATCAATGGGGAAATCAGATTCACTTAACAACTATGTTATTAGTTTAACAACTGCAGTGATTCATTTAACAAATGTGGCAAGAAAAGTTGTAAAATGAGGCAAAACCCACTTAACAAATTTCTAACTTAGCAACATAAATTTTGTGCTCAATTGTGGTCATAAGTTGAGGACTACCTGTTAAAATGCTTTTATTCTCTGTGGCTTGATTTTAAGGTATCCTGGTCTTTGATCTTTTTAAATATTCCTATTTTACTTCCTCTTTTTTCTAGTATTTTTCTAATAATATTTTTTTTATAACAAATTTTATTGGTTTTTTAACTTTTACAACAGAATGCTCAAGACATACCGTGGTGGTTAGGTGATCAATCATCCAAAAACAAAATCATATAATAGCTCAAGTAAATACATTAAATGTTCCCTCTCTATTTCCCTCAAATAATATAACCTATTTAACATAATCCATTTCTACATTACATATCTATAAATCCTAATCCTATTTTGAACTTTGTTAATTTACAGTTACCATAGTCCAATTTGATCTTAGATAATCGTATTATCACTTCGGGTATCCCTTCTAAAATACTAATCCAGATATATTCTAATTCATAATCTCATAAATCATTGATTTTATCACAAATCTCTCTTATTTCTTCAGATAGCATTTAAATCTCATTCAAATAATTATCATGTCTAAAAAAAAAGAACACACCTATTATTACACAAAACATTGTCTAACTTAACACACTCAATTAGTTGTTAAATCAATCCGAATTTCTAAAAACCTCTTTCATATTCTTATTCTCATTCCATTACAAAATAATTTTCATACAAATAAACATATTATTCCAAAAAATATATTCTTACTCTGTTTAACATATATATTCTAATAATTACAAATTTTCAACTCTAAATCTTAGTCCTTAAATTAATCCATATTTCTCAAAACCTTTTTAATCCATTACATATAATTTTAAATTTCTCTTTTTAGTCTTATTCTGGCTTTCTTTTTATGCCAAGCAGGTTTCCATAACAAAGTCTCTATTTCAGCAAGTAGATCTCCCATTATTGCTTGTAATGTCATTTGGGTCAGTAAAAGACCTCCCATCCTCTGTTTTTGACGCCTGGCTCCTGTCTGCTGGATAAAACACTCAATCATGTCCAATTTTATAATTAGTAGTTGATTATCAAAGTTGTCATAATTCTCCAACAGTTGTAATTTCAAGTCCATTTCTGTTAGTTTTGCAATTGTAGATAGTTTAGTTACAATCATTTTTTGGTTGTCCAAAGTCTCCATAGGTTGTATGTAAATTAATTCCTCTTCTATTGCTTTTTGGTCTGTAGAATGATCCAATAGAGTCTGAAGGTCTGTAAGTTCACAGTAGAATTTCTGTTTATTATTTCTGCAGTACGCTCTCTTATTTGGGAACATATTTCCTCAGTAGCTTCATAAATTTTTTCCAGTATGAGTTTACAGTTGGGTTGTAAATATGATTTCTCCATTTCAGTAGTAACTAAATCCAATCCTGTTATCTTTTAGTGGAGGCTATATTTCAAAACATTTATCCACCCCCACCAATAACAGCTGTTGGACCAAAAAAAACAAGAAACAGTTGCAGTTAAATTTCTCCACAAGGTGTCCTCAGTAAACTATGAAAGTCTCTTCCAGACACCAAAAATGAGGTTAGCAAAGTCAAAGAGCTGTGGAATCTCTTTTCCGGCTTCTCATAGAGGTTTTTTTCCCCCAAACAATAAAAATTTATCCCTTTAAAAAAATAAGTCCAGGACATAGGAAAACAATATTCTCCAGCTTAGAAGGTATAATAATAAAGTTTTATGATAAGGATTTTTCCAGAGCCCCCAAGTAACCAAAAATAAAAATAGTCAATAAGAAGTTTTTTCCTTTGTTATGGAAAGCTCTTTTCCCCAGATAAATAAAGGCAGCTCTTTCAAAGCAGGGAAATAATTCCAAAAGGCTTTTAACAGGAGAGTAGTTAGGCAAAAAGAGAGAGGGAAAAGTCTCACTGGGATCATCCACGATGGTTTCTTAACGCTTAGATGTTCTTTTGACTTTCAGCTGGAGCAGCTAAATGATCGACCATGTTACTGGCCGATCTTTTCTCCGTCGGCCCTGAGGAGCTGCCTCGGACCGCGGAAGGAGCTGCCTCCTCCCCCCGCAATCAACGAGAGTCCTCCTCATCGGTAGTCACCCCTCCAGGGTGACTTTTCGACCCGATTAAGGGTCTACCGGCAGAGGAAAAGCAGGTAACGAAGAGAGAAGTCTCTTCGTGTGCCTGCACCCACTGCAACCCAAAACCAGAAGTCCTTTTTCTAATAATATTATGATACAATTAATAATGGTAATAAGAACATTATTAGTCTTCCACTTGGCCAAAGCTACTGGAAAGATAAAGTTTGTGAGGGAGCAGGCTTGCTCAGAAAAATGGCCAGCATCTGTGCTGCTCTCTGTCCTGTCTCTTTAAACCTTTTTCCAACCAGCAGTTAGCTGAAAAAGCTTTGATAAGAAGCAGTTGCATGTGGTGATAATCTGTGTGAGAGAGATTCCTGTGTTCCTGTGAAGTGAAGCAGCTAAAAAGATAATTTTCTCTAGTAATACTTAAAAGGAGTAGGAGTAGTAGGACTCGTAAGTAGTAGTAGTTTTTTGGATGAGAAGCGAAATGTTTTCAAAGAAAAATACAACAAGAAAGTCCAATTGCCTTTTGGAAAAGCACTTTTGGGACAACCATGACCTGGATGATTGAGAATCTGTGTTACATTCAGGTCCAGTATAATAGCCATTATATATATTCCTCAATTTACTCTATGAATTTGTCTAATTTCCCTATTCCAGCATTACCACCAACTGTTCCACTCATATGTTGAGATTTCAACTCTTATGACCATTGGGATTACAGGAGATTTGGTCCCAAATCTGTTGAAAAAAAAGTTGAGGATGGTTGCTGTAGTCCATATCCTACTGAAATTTACTTTTTCTCTTCCCTATTCCAGATGCACTGTTCACATTCCAGCAGATAGCTTTGATTTAAATGTTTTGATAATTTCTGATTTGGTTAACTTGGATTTAAAGGGATATTTGCTGGAAAATATTAACTCTGAAATAGAATATTTGACAAAACATTAGCCTCTAAAAAGGAATTTTTAACAAAAAAACATTAGCCTCTGAAAAAAGTGGCCATGATTCTGCTTTAATTAAGTGTCTACACTGGTATTTGAATCCTCTTCCTGTGAAATGTTCTAATTGCAAACTTTGCCCATCTAAGGATCAGACTCATCTGAAGATATATTTCAGAAAGGGAACATAGTCAGCTGGTAAGTTAAAGTTCACTGGAGTTGTTTCTTTTGCATATTTTGGGATGTTAGAAATGCTATTAAATACTGGATAAAATGCTTATTAAGGGGGTATCATGAAAAGACAATTTCTGTTTATATCATGAAAAGAGAATTCCTGAAAAAGAGGCAGGTTTTTTTATGTAACAAGAATTTCTGAGAACATGTATTTTTCTACTTTGCCTATCTAGGAATTGTGGAAAAGGATACAACAATGTGATTATATTGCTTAGGAAGTTTGCTTGAATATAAAGGACATTGACTGCTGATCCACTAAATCTGGACACAATTTACTAGTTCAGCATTTATCTGTACATTTTCTAAACATGCCAAAGTAATTTGGATATTATTGGCAATGTAAGTCCAGATAGTAAGCTCTAGTCATTTAGGAGATGTCATTTGCTTTTTATTTTTTCACTTGTGATCTTTCTGAAACAACATGAAAGAATGAGAATATGATTAGTACACAGTAGAAAGAAACAAAGAATCTATTCATTTTTCTGAACTGAAAGAGGAAATTCTCAGAGAGGCAGGCTGATAGAACTTCCTGCCTAATAAGACTTTGGATGGGGGATTTTCCTAGTCGCAAAATATGGAAGTGTCATACCAATATCTTACCTGGTATTGTTTAGTTTTTTTACATAGGATTCGTGGTTGAATATAACTCTAAGAACTTGTCAGACCTTTAATTTTGTAGAATTTTTGTTCATTCTTTTCCACAGTATGGATTGTGAAAGTCCTTCCTTCTCTCAAGTTAACAAAGACCATATTGTGAATTGGAGCCAAAGCTCTTGCCACATAGAGCATTCTGAACCAAGTGCCAAAAATGAGGCACCCTTAAATATCATAGGTGAGAATGTTTCCCTGTAAATGGTATTGTTTTGTTGGTGGGATACTAAATACAGGAGTCCAAGTAATACACAATAATTAGCTGAGTTGCATTTTTCTAGGTGACCATGTTTTATGATATGCAAAAGCAGTATACGGGGGATTGGCCTTGGGCATGCAAATCAGTTTATTCCTGACATTGCAGAACAAACTTAGTTCCTTTCTTAACTCCCATGTATCACTGATTAGTCCAGAATTGTTGTCCTAATACTCTGGGATAATGCAAATGGAATCATAGTGTTTCTATTAATCTGCGTATTGACAAATTTAGAATTTGCAAGACAGATACCAAAGAAAAACACCAAGAGATGCCAGAGTTTTAATATAGCTTTAAAAAGGTCTATTAAGAAATTGCCCTTTAATACTTACAGCACGGGTGTCAAACTCACGACATCACGTGATGTGCGCGACTTTTTTCCCATTGCCAGCAGTGGGTGGGTACAGTTTTTGTGGCACATCCAGCCCATGGGCCGGCAGTTTGACACCCTGACTTACAGCCTTGGGAGGATTCAATCC